TTTCTGTCTCCTAGGTTCTTCTATCCTGTTACTTCTCTATATTTCCCTATGATGCATAGTGTGATGCTCCCCTTACTGTTGTCGAGGGAGCATGTCTTGGAGATCTTTATTAATAGAGACAGTTGACAATATTTCTCTAGTGTTTTGAGCAGTGACAACTGGAGTCAGCACAAAATGCAATTCTCTCTTTAACAATATATCTTAATTACTTAAGAGAGAAAGACTAATACCTAAGTGAATTGTCTGACTACCTCCCTTTATTAGTTTCCTTCTACGCCTGTAACAAATTACCACAACTTGAGTGACTTAAAGCAGCACAGATTCGTTGTCTCACATTCTGGGGATTGAAGCCCTAAAGTAAGTGTGTTGGCAGCTTGGCCTTTACTCGGAGGCTCTGGAGGTTCACCCCTCCCGCCTGTTTGGCTTCTGGAGGCCCCTGCTGCCCTGCCCTTTACCCCACTCCGCCCCTGGTGTGTCCCATCTTCCTTCCGCTTGTAGAACCCTTGAGAATATATTCGGCCCACATAAAACACCCAGGGTAGCCTTCCCCCCGCAGTGAGGGACTCAACCCACCACAGCTCACCACTCCTCGTTTCCCCTTTGAGGAGCTGGATCGCGCCTCCCTCGAGCCCCTTGGACTCCCGTGTCTCCCTCTTCTGCGTTCTTCCCTCTGGTGCTGTTTCAGTTGCTTCCACGTCTGTCTGCCCCTTTCTTTTCAGCCCCTCATCTGCCTCTCAGTCAAGCATTTCTGCCTCGTGCCAGACGGCCTAGTCACCCTTCAGACTGACGTTGTTCAGAATGTCCCCCACCCGGTAGATACTGAAGCTCAGGCACATTTTGGCCTGTGCCTGACTTTTCCATTATTGAAAGTACTTTATCATCTTTTTCTCCTACTGGTTCTCAGTGTTATTGCTTGGTTGGTGCCTTTGATAATGTGCCATTCCTTTGATTTTAAAGAAGTATTTCTAAGACTAACTTGAGGTGTCAGGCAGAAGGGGAGAGGTTGTACTTGCATCTGCCAGGCACCTGGGGGTGTTTCTGGTCACCCAAAAGGAGAGCTGCCCTTGAGAGTCTCTGGCTCGTTGAGGGGGGGGGGGGCGCCCTGAGCTTCCAGGCCCTCTCTGCTCTGTCTCACCTGTTACTGAAGACCTGAGGTCCCGTCTCCCAAGACTTGGGTCGCTTCAGAACCAGTGGCTTTGGTCTGCTGGGGGCTTTGGAAGGCGATGACCTGTTGGAAAGGAAATTTCCTTTTTGGCATTTAAATATTTGAGGACTAGAGGTAAGGTGTGATCTTTTTTTAAGTCTGGTTTGTAATTGGATTTGCATAGTAGAGAACAGATTATGTCACCTGTTTATAAAACTAGATGGACATTGGACCTTCCTGGTGGCGCAAAAGATTAGGACACAGCACTGCAAGCTGGCCATAGCCGCTTCAGTAGTTTCGATCCCTGGCCCGGGAAGATCCGCCTGGTGCAGCAGACCTCTCCTGATCCGCCTACTGCTCCCCTCAGCAGTGTACTTCATGATCTGCTTATTCTGCTCCCCAATCTGTCTCTGGTGAAGGCTCTCACTGCCCCTGCACCTCTCACCTGTACCCCAGTTCTGTACGAATAAATAAATCTTAAAAGAAAAAAACAAAACTAGGTGGTCATAAGAGCTTCATTTCTCTGTGTAGTTAGTCACATGCTGATGTTCGTTGAAAATCCAGCTGTTAGCTCCTGGAAGAGCCCTCCACAAAGGTGCACAGAGGTGTGAGGAGCATGGGTGGCGTGCTTGAGGAGGCTGCTTCTGTGGCAGGAGAGGCAACAGGACATCAGTGTAAAAAGCATAGACATGCCCCTGCCCCTTCCTTGGCAAACCATGTCATCTTCTGGGCCACGGAGGAAAGTGCTCTTTCCGCTGACCTGGGCTGTCTTTCAGGGACGTGGCTGTGGAGGTGTTGATGCTGCTCTCCCAGGCAGATAGCCATTGGGAAGACACAGAGGGGCCTTGGAGTGCTCGCGACGGCTGCCTGGATTCTACATCGTGGCCCTGCCGGGCTGGTGCACTCAGTAACCCGGCAGCTTGGGTCTGGAAGCAGCCTTATACCTCTGTCTAATCCCTTAACTGCAGGATTTCCTTGTATTTGAAAAGTATCTGATGGCTTCACTCTTACGAGGAAGGTAGAGGTTGCAAATAAGGGATCAGGAAGAAAATGTAGTTATAGTAAAGTAAATATCAAAATCAGCAGGCAGCTATAAGGCAGACACATTCTGCAGGGGGCACAAGGGAGTGGGAAGTGCACACAGGGCTGTGTGATGGTGCGCAGGGGACTGGTGGTGGGGACTTCAGGGGGCTAACCGGGATGAGAAATTGTACAAACATGGAAAGTGATGCAAAATATCAACACTGCTGTTTACTTAAGAAATCCAGTGCCTGGAGCCAGACTTTGTTCTTTGTGGATTTGGGGGGCGTTTACTGCAAGCATCCAGAACTACTGCCTGAAAGCTGGAGAAGGACACTGGTGATGTTAAGCCAGGTTGCCCGCCACCAGCTGGCCCCTTGGCACCCAGCTCTCGGGACCTGGCTCAGGCCCTGTTGGCCGACAGACCTGGACATAGTCTTGTCAGAGATGAGCCGAGGTCCCTTTAACCCACAAGTCAGGGAACCCAACTGTTTATAGACAGGTTGAGCAAGTGGGTCTCCGGTGGCCCTTCCTGGCAGGTGCCAGCTTGCTTCCCTGGGATCTTGCCTGGCTGCTGTGGCCATAGGCTACGCGATGCACTGCTGATTTTGCCCTGTGGCCCTGGATGGGACTCTGCTTTGCCTCCGGATTCCCAGGCCAGCCCCTCGACGGCAAGCAGGGCTTTCCACTCTTGCCTTGCTCTCCAGAGGCCCACTCACACTGTTCATCCCCCTAAGTTGTGTTCTCTGTGTTTGCACCTGTGCCCCCAGCCCCGCTTCTTGGGGCTGCTGCTGCCTGTAGACAGCGTGGAGTAGCAGAGCCTTCAGCTCACCCCGTTATTAAAGCTATTTAAATGAAGCTTATGTTTTAGCCTACTGAGAATTATAAGTACCAAACTTTCTTTTTAAATTACCTCTATAATTTTCTTATAAAATTACCATTATAAAACTAGGTGACAGTTAAATGAAAAACATGTGTTCTGTTCAGCATTTTTCTTCTTACTAAGCCTACAAACCTGTTGGCTTACTGATAAGAGAAGGTTTGTTCTGGACCTGAGGCTGTGTCTCTAGCTTGCTGCCGCCTACTGAGTTTAAATTGCTTTGTCTAATCGATAGAGAGCATTCCTTTCCCTGATCCAGTGGGGACCGGAGAGCCTGGGGTTCCTGTAGAAGTGTGGGCACAATTCTGTTCTTATGAAAAGTTCCTTATGAAAGTAATTTCTCTTAAGTACTGATACTAAAAATGTAGTTTTAGATGTATCCTTGTTGTGACTAGGCCTTTGAAGAGTAATTCTTGTCATCATGGGAGTGTTTCATTTCCCACCATGCCACATTTCCCACCATGCCCCCCCCACCCCCTTTCATCTTGTTAGTGGAATCAGAAGTCAACACTTTGAACAGGACTATATGACAGAAGTCTTAAACGTAGGAGCTCTTCAGACCAAAGAAACAAGCAAGCAACATAATGTTGACTGTCGGTGGAAGGTGACACGTTATCGTATTGACACGTAGATAGAATCGCCTGCAGACACAAACATGAGCCTTTTAAGATTTGGAAAGGTGCTGAATCTGGGACCCAAAGGGGCTTAGCATGTTCAAGGCCCCAGAAAGTCAGTTGAACAGGGAGATGTTCCAGAAGCCTCACCTCCTCATCCCAAGGCTGTTCCCGTTCCCCTCTGTGACCAATTTTGTACTTCTGGCCTCACACTACAGGCTGACCCATGTGGCCCTGATCCCCTTAATGCCTCCGGCCTTCCTTTCTCATGCCCCTTCCACGATAATCTACCAATCTGTCTAAAAGATCAAGTGGGTGTCCTGCCGCCCCTGCTGGCCACCTGAGGTCCACCCTTCCGGTCTGTTTTAGCTCGCACCTAGTCTCTGTGGGCAATGGCGTGAATTTCCATCTGGCAGGGCCCGTAGTGATGCCTGGTATCCAGCGAACAGGGTGTGTGGCCTTTGTTTGGCTGTCCAGCTTATCAGGTGTCTGCCTTCTCTCAGCGGGCTGCTGGACAAGCCCAGGAGGGTGGAAGGCAGAGCATCCCCGTCTTGCCATGCAGATCGGGGTTCTCATCTGGCGGTGGGTGACAGCATTGGCACTTCATGTTTCTGGCACCTGTCTCATGCTTGCAGTTTGAAATGTCAGCTTTACTATGAGGTCTGAGAACACGGTTAGGCTTCGTGACTGCCTCCACACTCTGACTTTATGGCACCTGCCAGTGGGGAAAAGAGAAGTCAGCACATCACAGCAGTAGTTTATGGAGTTCCCATCCATGCCCGATGCTTTACTCCATATTTGTGGTGTAAAACTGTGGAGGTTGGTGGGGAATGCACACCAAGTAATTATTAGACAGCTTGGAAAATTGCCATGGAAGCGGTGACCCTCCTGAGTTAGTTTTTCATAGCTAGAAACTGATGAAAGTTTTGTTCTAAGAGCCTCAAAATCACCAGGATGTTGCCTTTTATCCTGTTGAATTTCTGAAGTAACATTGGTACCGGCTATTGTGCAGGTATTTCAAGCCTTGAGATACAGAATTTCTGATAGAAATGATCCAGTTGAGAGGGAGGGAACAATTCCTGAGAGATTGTGAAATAAGGCAGATTGCATGGCATTTGGAACACTTGTGTGTAGTTTGCTCATAAAAGAGAATGCTTAGCAGGAATTTATCTGGTGAAAATTAAACCATTAAATCTGCTCAAGTGAAAAACTGGCCGTTGACCGAGTGAAAGCATCACCGCCGCTGAGAAGTGAGCTTCCTGTGTGCTGCTGTCTGCTCGTGACATGTGTCCTATGGGGGCCTCTGTCTGACTTCTGGTTTTGTTGCTTTTTCACAGAGCTTGAGCCCTGTGAAGCCGGCAATGACAAGTCTGAATGGTCGCCATGCCGAGAAAGCCGTTGACATGCCCAGACCGTCAGCCCCCAGAGTGCACGTGCAGAGGTCTGTGTCCCGAGACACGATCGCCATTCACTTCTCAGCATCCGGGGAGGAGGAGGAGGAGGAGGAGGAGGAGTTGAGAGAGCACCTCGAGGAGGGGCTGGGTGACCAAAGCATTGTAACAGGGCTCGAGGCCAAGGAAGACCTTTACCTTGAACCCCAGGGTGATCATGGCCCCACCAGCCCTGTCGCCCAGCCCGTCCTGGCAGGCGGGCTGTTGGCGTCCCCTGCCATTTTGCCCGTCTCCGAGAACACCGTAAAGCTGCCGGAGGCTCAAGTATTGAGTGCAGTGCCATTGACTCTGTCCCCAGGGTCGTCGTCCACGGGGCCCATCGCTTGCTCTCCCAGCGTGTCATCTCTTTCTGAGCACAAAATCAGTTCTTCCTCTCCGCTGTCCTCCCCGTCCAAGTCTCCTGTCCTCTCATCCAGTGCCTCATCCTCCACCCTTTCCAGTGCAAAACCCTTCATGAGCCTCGTGAAGTCCCTGTCAACCGAGGTAGAGCCAAAAGAACCCCCACACCCCCCGAGGCACAGGCACTTGATGAAGACGCTGGTCAAGTCTCTGTCCACAGACACCTCCAGGCAGGAGACAGATGCTGTGTCCTACAGGCCACCAGACTCCAAGCTGAATTTACACCTGTTCAAGCAGTTCACACAGCCACGAAACACAGGTGGAGATTCTAAAACTGCACCGTCTTCCCCGCTGACTTCTCCCTCTGACACACGCTCCTTTTTTAAAGTGCCCGAAATGGAGGCTAAAATCGAAGACACTAAACGACGCCTTTCAGAAGTCATCTATGAGCCTTTTCAGCTCCTCAGTAAAATTATAGGGGAAGAAAGTGGCAGCCATAGGCCCAAAGCCTTATCTTCAAGTGCTTCAGAACTCTCCAACCTGTCCAGCCTGAACGGTCACCTGGAAAGCAATAACAACTACAGCATCAAGGAAGAGGAGTGCGATTCCGAGGGGGATGACGCCGAGGGCGACCCCAGTATCCCCAGAGGAGACCCTCCAAAGTCCGCGGATGAGCCCGCCAGAGAGGCAGAAGCGAGGAGCTCCCAGGGAGCCAGTCTAAAGGACTTAGGCCCGAAGACCAGTTCCCTCGTTCTGGAGAAATGTTCTCTGTCTGCCCTGGTGAGCAAGGAGGATGAAGAGTTTTGCGAACTATACTCTGAGGACTTTGATTTGGAGACGGAAGGGGAGAGTAAAACTGATAAACTCCCGGATGTCCCACTCAAGCCCGAGGTGCTACGGGCAGACGTGGGCGCAACTCTGGACAGCGACGATGAGGTGGACGCCGGCACGCAGCACTCGGAGCTGCCCGTGAAGACGCTGGGCTTCTTTATCCTGTGCGTCTACGCGTACCTTATCCTCCCGCTGCCGCACTATGCGAGTGGCCTCTTCCTGGGAATTGGCCTCGGGTTCATGACTGCGGTTTGCATGATTTGGTTTTTTACACCACCAAGTGCTCATAAATATCACAGATTGCATAAAACTTTCCAACACTGGAACTCAAGATCTCTGGATATCAAAGAACCCGAAATACTAAAGGTAAGTGCCCGCTGGTGTCCGCTGGCTCCTGTACAGGCTGCTTTGAGATCTGCCTTAAATTTTGTAGTTGGAAAGTTTTGCACTCACACAGATTTTAAAAGCCTTTGGGATCCCTTCATTCTCCAGGCACCAAGAGACTGATCTGGTAAAACTCATTCTAACTCAGCTTTCGCCAGTTCATCAAGAAGTTTTTCAAGGATCTAGGATTTGCATCCATTTCCTGCCTCAGTCTCTCAGCTTACCAGGGATTTGCTCCTTGCAGAGGATTTATTATAGCTGGTTTGTTAGGATTAAATATTCTTGAGACCTTGGAGAAGGGTAAACTACTGGAAATGCAAAAGAAAGGAGGGAACGAGAAGGTGAATTCTGGTCAGTGGTTGATCTCTGCTGGCACGGGGGCATGGGCTGGGACAGACCTCGCCACCCAGTGTGTGGATGCCAGGCCGCTGGTGTCCTAAGAGGAGCGCAGATGACTCCTGAAATGGAGGAAGAAAATTCTAGAATTTAAAACAGAGAATATATTCGAACTTTTGTATTTATTTCTGGCTATTAAAAAGTTCCTGTGCATTGTACATATTTCATACTAGTTATGATATGAAAGTGCCTGTGCAGCTTATATAGTGAATCTTAGGCACATATATCGTCTTTGAAAAATATTTATTCAATTCTTTTATGCAATTTTGAATGAGAGATTTTTGTTGTTGTTAAATGGTAGGCATTTCCTGTATGTTCTGGGCTATTAATCCCTCACCAAATATGCAATTTGCAGATATTTTCTCCCATTCTTTACTTTGCCTTTTTACTATGTTGCTAGTGTCTTTTGATGCACAAAATTTTAAATATTCATGAAATCTGTCTATTTTTTCCTTTGTCACCTGTGCTTGTATTACCACAGGCAAGAAATCATTGTCAAGTCCAGGGTTTTGCTTTTGTCCTGCTTTTTCTTAGAATTTTGTTTTAGGGCTTAACAGTTTATATTTTTGATTCAGTTTGACTTAAGTTTCGTCTCTGGTGTTAGGTCCGGGTCCAGCTGCTTCGCATGCATCCGGATGTCCAGTTTCCCTAGCTTGCGCCCCCCCCCCCCCCCATGCTCTTGGCACCCTTGTCAAAGGATCATTTGATCATACATGCAAGGATCTGTTTCTAGATTCTGTTCTGTTCCAGTGGTCAGTTCCCAAATTTTAAAAAAATTAATGTTACCTGGATAGTAAATATTGGCATTAAGAAGTGAAAATACCATTCTTTTCCAAGGTGGTTTTGGCTTTTTGAGGTCCCTTGAGATTCCATGTGAATTTTAGAATGGTTTTTGTTTATTTCTGCAAAAAATGCCACTGGGATTGTGCTGGCTCTGTGGACCGCGCTTTCTTTTCACAAATGTCTTCCCTGCGTACAGCTGCGGAGGCGGCCGTTTCACTCGGGAGTGGGGTGAGGCGGGCGTGTGCTTGCTTTCTGCGACTCTCTGTCCAGGGATAGCTGGAGAAGCCTTCGCGGTACAAGACCTGTGAACATCAGTTTTCCTGGAACAGTTTTGAAACCTTATTGATTTTAACCTTTTAGCCTTTCAAGTTGAAACTTTGCTGGGTCTTCTGTTTAATCCCTCCCCCCCCCCCCCCCCCCCCCTTTAAATAAGAATGCTAAAAAAACAAAAAAACATGTAAGGGAAAGAACACCCCTGTTCCAAAATTCTGTTCTGTGTTGACTTTTAATTTCAAAATGTTTCTTGCGATTTAAAAGAAAATATGGTCTATGTTTAAAAAGCACGAGAAAACCATAGAACAATTTTTTAGCACACTAGTGGAAGGAAATAACAGTTCATGGTTTGGTATATGTACAATTCGGGTTTGTTGTTTTTTTTTTTTTTTTTTAACTTTCTGCAAGGATGAGAATCACACACTCACACTCACATACTCCTGTTTTGATTTAACGGATTCATATATTTTGAAGTCTGACCTTTCTTTCCCATGGCAATATATTATGAGACTTCCCTTTTTAACAGAAGCTGGTGCTGAGTCTTGGGGTATGATACGCTTAGTATTAACATATGAAGTGGAGCAAAAGTGACTCATTATGCACGGTTGCTAGGCTTTTTTGATAGGGTGGTGCTGTGACTACCTGAATTTCATGCTTGCTAAGTAAGTTAATGCTAACTTTAGCAAGGAAAATGATACTTATATTTAACTCCAGTGCCTGATGACTATGATACTCATTTTAAACTGACTTGCACAATTAATTGTCTTGGAAAGATTTTACATTTAAACCAATCAGTCTTCAGTGTTGGGTTCGAGCACTGCTATATGTCAGCAGTTTACTAATTAAACATGCCAATGGAATGGGATTTTAATGTTCTGGCATAGTCTGGCTGCTTTGATCCTGTCATTGAAGCAGTGACAGCTGCGCTCCCATGCTGAGCACATACAGTGGGCTAAGCATTGGGCACGTTATTTAACCCTCAACCCTTTTCAGTTAGGGTGTATGCTCATGAAGCAAATGGAGGCACAGAGAGGTTAAGTTCCTTGCCCAAGGTTTCACAGCTCGTGAGTAGTAGACCCATGCACAACTATTTTTGTTATTTTTAAGGAAAGTGTTTTGCCCTCGGTGCCTGGATAAATACAATTACATTTTCTTTGCAGAGAGCAAGTTCTTAAATGTTGTCATCGAATGACACATGTAATCCAAACAAATCGTCTTAGGATGTCTTACGAGTGTTCTTCTTGGCTGGTGTTTGAACAGCTCTGTTTGAATGTTTTCTTAATTCTTTTTAAAAGAAAGCCCTGATACCTTCTTTTTAAAAAGGAGCATAAAAGGGGGATTAAGATGAAAAATAATTACTAAAAACAGACAGCTTATATAGAGTTTTTTTCCCCTTCCCCCTAAAGTAGAAATTGTTCATAGGATTTGAAAGCTGCTGCTTGTTGCTTAGAAGCACTAAGTCTCTCCCTCACAGCGCTCAGTCACCGTGCTGCCCTTTGGAATTCGAAGGTAGTCAGGAGTGGGGTGTGCTCAGTGGAGGAAAGCACAGGATAGGTTTCCATCCTGTCTCCAGACTTAGTTGACCCTAAGTGATCCAGGAGATGGGCCTTGGTTTCTTTACAGAGTAGATAACGTGAACCTGTTTTCCAGGGTGAGTCCAAAGATCCGGTATTGGGGATTAGTCATCTATTTTGAGTAATTTTTTGTCCACCTGACTTCCTTTAGTTGGTTTTTATAAAGGTTATGATGATGCAGCAGGCTAAGAAGCCTGCCTGTGGTCAAGGCCTCCAACACAGACACCCCAGCCTGCAACCGTGGCCCTGCAGGTGAAGGGCAGGTGATGCCCTCAGCAGACCTCTCGACGCCCCAGGAGCCAGTTTGGCAAGGAGCTTGCTGCTGCGGGACTGTTTTAAGAGGCATCTGTTTTTAAACCTCAAAGCCATATAAATCGTCATTGATGGGTCCAGGAGGCCTTGCAGCCTACACTGAGAGTCTGGTTTCTTTATTGGCTCTATAAACAATTCAGGGAGCATTGCAGTTTGTCATTGGTTTGACTTCACTTGACAAGGAAAGGGAGGAATAATGTAAAACTTTTCTGTACTTTATCCTGCTGATTTTATTATACTATAGACACTATAGATATTTGTATTTAAAAATGATGCTACAACAGTGAGGCATGAGGTCTACGTGGGGTGGTAAGCCAAAAAGACCAGTTTGCAACCTCTCAGATTGGCTCGTTAGGCCTCACAGTATCCACAATCTCCCATCCTGAACCCTGCCTATCAGCAGCTGTACTTTCTGGAATAGAAGCAATCAAAGCCTCTGTAAGGCCAAAGCGTTGTTCCCCAGTTCTGGAAGAACACTTTAGAACTCCCTCCATATACATTGCTTTCAATGTATGGGAATTCTTAGCCAATGAGAGGCAGCAAATATAGGAGTGTGTTTGCCATTGGCATTTAACATGAAGAGACACAAAAGTCAGGAGAAGACAAATGTTAGTAGATGCCAGTGTGACTTAAAGCACAGCATTCTGGGTAAGTCAACTCAGGTGGAGTCTCATGTGTGGTGCAGCAGCTAAGGCATCATTGCTAAGCAACCCCCCTTATTTCGGATGACTAGCAAGATGCCCTGGGCTGGTGACCCTGGGTCACAGTGGATGTGTGCTGTGCGGTCAGCACAGCACACTGGTGTTGTTGCTGCGCATTCTTGGGCAAGGCGTGTGCTCCTCCTCCTTACGACAGGGCCTGGAGTGTGGTTCACTGGTGTCTGTCCATAATGAGAAGCTTCCTGAAGATTTCAGGAGATTTTTGGGGTTTATATTTGAGTGTATAACTCAGAGTCTTCAGTTATATTCTTAAGTGTTCCACCTCAGACTCACAACCACCTGCAGAATATAGCAGTTGGATGTTGCTTTCCTTGGAAGAAATGGCCTAGAAGTGTGACTGAAACCACATTTATGCATTACAAGACTGACAGGCGGCCTTTTCTCTAGCTTGTGTCACATTTAGCTACTTAAGAAGAGGTCTTTTAAAAAAAAAAACAGTTTCCCTAAATACAGGCTTTGTTTTGATATATAAAAGAATATTTCTTTAGAAAGAACATTATTTATTTTGAGAAGAAATTTAACTTGTAAAATTAATCTCAATGCCATGCAGTTCTTTCTTTTAAAAAATTGGAGCAGGAGCATCTTAAGGAGAAAATGACCTCATCACATGCAGCCAGAAGAGATTTGGGTTGCTTTTTGTTGGTCTCTTACTATAACACTCAGTACAGAAAGTACAAGAAATAACAAAGCATTTCTTTCATTCTGCATTAAACTTAACAGAAAATTCCCTGCCTCGGAATGGGGCACTTGAGTTTTAGGGCCGGGCCAGCCCCTCTCCAGTGCTTCCCCGCCCCCACGTGTGCTCTCTCCTGCGAGCAGCCAGCACACTGCTGTTGGAACTGGCGGGAGGGGGAGGGGCGGCCTCGTGGTTATCCTCTGGATTCTACAGGAATGATGGTTAAGGATGGCAGTTGACTTCATACAG